ACGGTAAGTGTCCGCAAAAAAGTTACCATAAGTTTTCAAAAAGTATATTAAACTTAAGTAAAAACATTATTTAATAACAGATAATCACCTGAAGAATAGCTGAAGACTAGAATCGCTTGAAAGGCCACAAAAATGCCTAAACGAGACGATATATGGCAACACTGGACAGATGTGGTCACCGATGCCGGCGCTAAGACACGCGTGAAATGCAATTACTGTCCGAACGAACAGCTGAAGAATGCGGTGAAGTGTAAGAGACATCTCATTAAATGCCAATTTGGCAACAAATGCATTGTCGATAAGTTTGCCGAAGAGTTGAGACACAAGATGGACAGATGTAGGACACGGCTGGTGGCCATGGGTTGCGACAATGATAACGACGACAGTTACGAGACACTGGCTGACATTGCAGACCAGCGACAGTTCCAACTCATGGCCACCGATACTGATGGCCAGTCGTTGTATCAGCAGTTAGTGGCGAACACTTCAGGTATGAGTTAAACAATGAGTTTTATAATTTGTGATTAAAATAACTAAACTCTTTGTCTCTTCCGAAGACATGACATACGACCAGACCGTCGGCGATGACAACAACTGTATCGCCGTTGCTGTGACGGACGTGTCCGCCATCGACGGCGTGCCGACTATCATACAGATCGGCGGAACACCGATAGTAACGCCTGGCCTTCCGGTGCGGACACTGATCAACACGAAGATAAGCAGTGCCGGAGCGAGTAGTATATGGAACCACTGGACAGATATCGTGGACTCGGAGGGCAAGCGTCGGGTCCGTTGCAACTACTGTCCGAACGTACAGCTGAAGAACGCCAGCAAATGTCGGCGACATATCATGCGATGTCTGGCCAGTAATTTAATGGCAAAGAGACGGCTACTCAACGACCAGAGTTTGCCAATGTTTACAGATCTGCTCAACTCAGGCGCCGCTGGAAGCGGTGGCGGCGATGAAAACGCGGTCAAACTCGGCGCGAATGACAGTCAAGCGTCACTTCGGGCCCAAAATGGCCGACTGGCCAGTGATCTCAGGCGTAGCGAACAAACGCGCGCCTTATTGGAAGCCCAGCGGAACTATTTGCTGAAGACAATCAACGAGTGCTCCAATTGTGGCCACGACTCGGCCCTAAGGCAACGGTTGGCCGAATTTGAGGTGAATCTGCGACGACTGAAGTGCAACAGATTGGACACGAAGTGGCAGTCAATTTGGTCGCACTGGACGGACGTGACGGACAGCGTTGTCATCTCCGGTAAAGGACAGCATGTGTTTGGACAGCGGGTCCGGTGCCGTCATTGCGGTAACGTTCAGCGCAAAAACGCTGTCAAATGCCGCCGACATGTGGCCAACTGTCGGCCGTGCGATGAGACCATCCGGAACTACTTCGCCAAAGAGATACGGCTGAAAAGCGTTGTCCGGCGAGGCGTGGTATCCGAGTGGCCGCCGAAGACCACAAACACCAGCCGTACCACCGATGCTGATGGCGATGATAATTCATTGGACGGTGATTTGCAACGCATCGCTAACTACAGGATCAATATCGACGCGGGAACCGCTGGTGACACATCTGATGGGCGAAGAGTCGGTATGTATTATAAGCTCATGATGTGATTGATGTCTTTGTCGAGTCATACACACCATCTGTTTGTTTTGGGTGATAATCCCGTAGCCAAACGATACGCGTGCGACGCATGCGAGTACGTGACGGACAATCCGCAGCGGATCCAATCGCACACCAATCGCCAGCACCTGAACGTACGGCCCTATCCGTGCGATGTGTGCGACAAACAGTTTCTCACGAAAGCCATTCTCACGCTTCACAAGAAGAATATTCACGCGCCGCCCGAAGACATTGTATACTATCGGTGCGATTGGTCCGACTGCCAGTTCCAGACCCGATACCAGAGCTCGTTGACCAGTAAGACTTGTTTTGGTGTCATCTGGTTACATGTCTTAATGTCTGTATTTTTTGTCATTAATTTTAGTCCACAAACTGCAACACTTGGGCGTCAAACAGTTCCCGTGTCAGTGGCCGGGCTGTCCGCTAGGGTTCTACACCGGCAAAGACCTACGCAAGCATGAGCTCAGCCACAGTCGCACCTACCGATGCGAATGGGTTGGCTGCGGGGCTGTACTCAAGTCCTGTATGTATTAATACACATCTCATTTCAATCAACTCTAAACTAATCATGTGTTTTCATTGACCGGTACGGACCATAGCGGCCAATCTGAAGCGCCATAAGCTGATCCACACGACCGACGGCTCGAAACCGCACGCCTGCTGTTGGCCGGGCTGTGACAAGCGGTTCCAGTTCGGCAGCTTCTTGACCACACATATGCGCCGCCATCGCGGCGATCGTCCGCATCAGTGTCCGCACGAGGGCTGCGACCGTCGCTTCTACGACAAGAGCAAAATGCTAAACCACTGCCGCACTCACGGCCAACAGCGGGACTACCCGTGCGTATGGCCCGGATGTGACGCCTCCTATAAGACAAGTAACCATCGCTTATCTGTTCGCGACAATACATTTGTCTAAATTAATTGGCCGTTTAATTCCCCGATCAGGCAATCACTTGGAAAGGCATGTGTTGTCCCACACATCACCCGACGCCGCTCCCGAGCCCACAGTCTTCGCCTGTCATTATCCCGATTGTGGCAAACAGTTTGGCCACAAACGCAACCTAAACACGTAAACCAAATACTAATCGCATGTATTTGTGCACCAATTTTAAGCCCAATTATCTCTTAACTGCGGTCCAGACATATACGATATCACCGGTCGGAGGCCGTACACGAGTGCGATTGGCCCGACTGTGGCCGACGGTTCAAGAGTCGCGATGTCCTGCGCCAGCATTTGATGTCACACCGCGGCGAACGGCCGCACGTGTGTCCGTACGAGGGCTGCGGCCGGGCGTTCATACGGCGGACTTTGATGACCGCTCACCACCGGACTCACGAGTCGGCGCCGGCCTTCGTGTGCGAGTTGTTGGCCGCTAACACCGGCGCCACCGCCGCAGTCGATGACGACGACGACGACAACTCGGCCGGCGATAAGCCGTGTGGTAAACAGTTCTGGACGAACGCCTGTCTGCGCCGACACCAGCGACAGGTGCACCAGTCGTCGGCTGATAATCTGGTCACTCATACGCCTATAAATGAGTCCAGTATCGGTGGTGACGACATTACCGCTGATGACACTCAGTTGGCCGACAATTCGGCCCAAATCGGCGATTAATATAATGTTTAAAGCATTGAATTTTATGTAAAAACAATTGATAAACATTTTTAATGTTAATTCATAAAGATATTAATTAATTCAAATAAACTAAAAAGTTGTTATTATAAATACAATTATAAATCATTATAAATTATAATCATTATTAGTTATATAAATAGACTATTATTAAAGTAGTACTGATAATTGCAAAGTGATTCACGTATATCTCCGAATATCTGATCCCTGGTATCGGGAAGAATGGTCGCCACGTGATGGTTGTTTGTCGACGCCCTGATTGGCCAATTGGTCGGCCTTCTCATTGCCGGCCACACCTGAATGCGCGGGAACTTTAGTCTAGAAATATGTGAGAAACAAATGTTAACGTAAACCTCTAGAGGGGTGACCACCCATCGGGTGCTTAAAGACAAACCCATTTGATGTCCATTCCTCGTGAGGCGGCCTCCAGATCCAGAAAGTCCTGTTTGTTGATCACATCGTTGCCAGCGCTGGTCCGCCAATTGTTTTGACGCCATTTATGGCTCCACTCGTTCACCGATTTGTTCATAAACTCGCTGTCGGTCTTGATCTCGACCCGCGAGTGACCCAACTCTTTGGCCACTTCCAGCGCCCGACGGGCCGCCTGTATCTCCGCGCGATTGTTGGTCTGACGGCCGGCCAGGGGTTCGCTAATATCCTTATCGGGACGGTTGGGAAAGTGGACACCGATGCCGGCGCGGGCGCCCGCCATGCCGTTCCCATGACACGCGCCGTCCGTATACATCTCGAACCGGGGCTCAGAGTGACCGCTGGACCTGATCTGCGATACCGGCCGTCCATAGATAGTGTCACCGGCGAAGTCGTCGTCATCGTCGAAGTTGTCATATGTGTCGCCGCCGGCCGCTGTCAACGACGAAGAGTTACCATTCGTGCCGTGCGATCGTTGACCACCGCCGCCGCCACCCATGTATTCCATGGCCTCTTGAGATGTGTTGAAACTCTTAAACTGAGCGCCAGAGTAGCCGCTGGTCTGAGCCTTGCAGTCGTCCCTACGGTTGGAGTTGTGGTCAACGGTTAGCCATCGGTTAGTACTCGAAATCAGGTCACAGAGGGAGGGGTTGTCAGAGGGGGTGCCATAGAATGAGGCGTAAAGGGGGTCAATGGGGGCGAACTTAAGTCGAGGCGTGCCTTCAGTGACGGGACTCTCGTCGTTGTCGGAAAGGGTGTCCGAAAGTGGGTCAGAGGGGGTGTCATAGTGTGCGCCATAGAGTGCGGCAAAGAGGGGGCTAATAGGGCGGGCCCTGAGAGCGGGCGTACATTTCGATAGGGGGCTGTCGTCATAGGAGTGCAGATCAGTGGGGGTCAGAAATTGTGGGCTCAAAGAGCGCGCCCTCAGAGCGGGTGTGCCGTCGGAGTCGGAGTTAGAGTTGGGCTCAGAGAAGGGGTCGGAGAGGAGGGGCTCAGAGGAGGGGTTGGAGTCGGTGTCATAATTGGGATCAGAGTCGGGCAACGATGTGATCAACAAACAGGACTTTCTGGATCTGGAGGCCGCCTCACGAGGAAT